ATATGGTCTGCGCAGTCAAGAAGAGGGAGTCAGCACCCCTCTAGATACCGTATTTACTCGAAATTAGGTCGAGCACTAATATAGGTCGACCCCTACTAACCGTGTTCTACGAGAGAAAAAAAAATATTCGAATATAGGACGACCAATGTTTTTTTTTTTCTTAGTTTAGAAACAGAGAAATTGAAATGTAGCACACCTTTATGTACACAACTCAGCCCCCTAATTGCTGCCGGGGCTGTCATTTGTCAGATGTGCAAGATGATGTCATCAGATTCCTCGCAAGCATTTGTGACTTCTCAAACGTCATCGTCCTTGCTGCCACTGCTGCCGATTACTGGGCCGTAAAAGGCAGCACGCCACCGCATTTGCGGTCCCGCTTCTTTCGCCAGCCCCTAATCAACGTCTCATTTACACAGAACTTGCGCTGCACGGCACAATTGCTCGCGTCCTCGGTAAAAAGTATCACTTGGCACTTGAAGTCACCTGTGTAGCTCTGCTGACGTGACATCGTTGCAAAAGTGCACAACTGTGGTTAGAAGAAGAGGGCGCCCAATTTCTGCAGCATGGTGCAGCGCCTAAAGTAAATGCGAACCGGCACGTCGATCGTACAATGAATAAAGCGCGAAGCGGCGACAGCGATGCCTCAGGCCAGTGCCAGTGCGGCTTCGCGGCGGAAGGCAGTACCAGAAGCACGGCTAACGGGCTAGAGACTTCACGGCCAATGCCTAGGGAAATCGTGGGATTCCTTGCAAACGCGGCAGAGCAACTGCGTTTTGCGGGGAAAAATAACTTTTTTCTCAATTACTTAGGTAGTCGCAAAGGAGGAGGGGAGTCTTTATTTAAGATTTTATGGTATATAACATACGTATGCTGCAGGAACCGCTTGAAGAACAGCGGGCGCGGCGGTTGAACGCCATAAGCTCGACGCTCTTTGTTGGTTTGATTGTGAATATAGGTCGAGATTCTTTGGACACGAATATAGGTTGATAGCTGGTTATGAACAAGATTTTCGGGAAAAAAAAAGGTCAATCTATATTTGAATAAATACGGCCATCTAAAACCTTCCAGACTATGTCTCTGCACTCTTTCTTTCTGTCTTGCACTCTATTGCTCACTCTAACGATGTTCAAAAGCTCGTCGAAGAGCGATGCAGGGGCTTTCGATGGTAACCGCGTTGTCTGTGGAGCCAACTCGTTCACCATGGTCAGAATCATTGGGGACCATGATTTGGTACTGCGTTTTCATTTTCACGTCCATTTCATTTCTTGTTGCACTTCACATCAAGAGCTGGCCGTGCAGTGTGAAGCTTGCGCTTTTTTTGAGGACTTTAATAAATATTTTAGGCAATTGAGAAAGAGACATCCTACAGAGTCTTCTTTTACGTCAACTTATCGTGTGGTATAATGACCACTTCATCATTGACGTTGTGAATGAAATATTCAGTAAGGTTTTCTAGCTGGAAGTGCAGGCCACACACAACACAAGAGGTGGTAAGTTCTGTGCTGAGCCTCGGAATGGCTTGCTGCCATTCCCGAAGACGTCAAGCAGTCTTCAGCGGCCTGAAAAAATGCCTCTTCTCGCTCAAATATCGCACTGAGTCGTAGACACTCCTCCAGCTGGTCACAAAACACCAAGGCATATAAGATGCGAAGCATCTTAGAGCAGGGTTCAATCTGGTGTGTGATGTGACCGCCCTTACTCCACATGCACACCAGCTGGCCCAAGCACTGCCAGAACGCGCTCACACGCTGGCACGTCCTGGCCAGTGTAAGGGGCTGGGTAAGACGCTGTGGCCATTCCCCCTTACACTCTTTCAGCAAACATGTGATGGCATTCTATCTGGTCAGAACGTGCTAGTAGGTTCGGGCCTGCGTAAGTGGCTGTGGCCTCTCCCCTTACATTCTCGCAGCATTAGATGCCTGGTAAGGTTGCAAAGCAGCAGAAGGCTCTACGCCCCGAAGCGCAATGTAAATTTGCCAACCGCACTGTGATAAGTAAGGAAGAGGCACAAGGCGCATGCCGAACATGAAAGCATGGCGACGGTGCACAAGGAAAAAAAAAAGTCACCCGAGGGCACATGCACCAGAAAAGTCGACGCAGGAGATTGGTCGAAAAAAGGCTCGTGGCACGTGACCCGAGCAGTGAAGAAAAATCCCAGAGAATGAGCTGGCACTGTGCATTGGGACTTTGAGCTGCCAAGACATGGGAAACCAGTGTCGCTACAGAGATGGGAGAAGCGTAGCCGCCTGGTTCCGAAGGATGTCAGAGTGAGAGGCCCGGGAAGGTGCCATCGACCTTGGAGGTGCTCTCAGTGAGGCTGCCCGGACTTGTCGCACCCTTGCCCAGCAGTTCCTGGTGGACTTGCAGCTACCCCACTTCTTCGTGCTAGGATGGTTGCAGCCCACACCAGTGAGCAGAGTGGACACATCAGCAGGGAAGTCCACGACAAGCTAAGCTTAGAGAGGCTGAAAACTGAGAGGAGGAACGGGACACCAGTGATGAGGACGAGCGGTGCGTTTGGCGGGATCAACCGACAGTGACCGTAAGAAGCGGAGCGATGACGGAGGACCCGACTAAACGTCGACATGGCAAAGGGCAAAGAATCAACGTCACAAACTGTAAGAACATTCCATTGTTGAGACCCAAATTGGCTTAGGGCTAGCGGCTAAGGCTACCAATAGATTTAGACTGAGCTACAATCAGTTTGGGTTTGACCATGTACATAGATTGTTATTAGGTATTATTAAGTTATTGATTCTTATTGAGTTATTGAGTGTTATTGAGTTATTGAGTGCTTTAACGTGAATTCTGTTTATTGGTTTTGTCCGTTCAGGGTATAATGAGTGTTTCTCGCCACGCCCGTCTTCCGCCTCTCTCTCAAATCAATCCTTCACAAGCGCTCCCGAGATAAGTTAGCATGACACGCACCCCGAGCTTCAGTCCATGGAAGCCCAGCACAAATGGGAACATCAGCAGGAAACTGCTATGAATGAAACACGGGCTCGACATGCCGAAATGCAAGGGCAGTGTCGGAAAGCGAACCCCACTGTACGCAACGCCGACGTCGAAGCGAAGCGTCAGCGTCGAGCCCACGTGTTGACTGCGGACAGATGACACGAGCCCAACTCCCACGTAGAACTCCTTGCTAGACAACATTAACGCTTGGGCTTTGACAGGGCTGAAGCCACTAACACTAAATGCGACAATAACACTAAATACGCAACATTAACCGAAACACTACTGGCAACAGCTAGTAAAACCCACAGAAACGCAGTGTGCCCCTCTATCTCCTCCCATGCTGCTTCGTATCGCCTCGTGGTCCCCTTTAGTGTGACATGGTGCATTTTGCTCACAAGGCACATGAAATTATCCTGGCACATAGATAACTAACACAAACAAAAAAATGTGCACGCTTTGGCCCCTCTGCCCGTTGCCTCTACTAGCATCGCTCACACCACTCGCCTTTAAGTTGATAGCACTGGGCATGCTGCTCCGCGGGTGTAACAAAAAGGAATCAGTCGCTGTGGCGAAGTTTGACAACTGAAAGTATCTAGTAACGTTGCACCGATGTGTAGGATCAAATCAACACTTGTGAAGGAACTGCCAGTGAAGAAATCCATCTATTAATGTAAATATGGTGTCTTACACGTCAAAGCCTAAACGAATACGGAGCAGGTAATCGAATAATTTTGACCGCCTTGCAGACCTTAACATGCTGCTGTACCCAAGCACAAACATGTTCTTGCTCCTGACTCCTATCGCAAGTGGCCAAGAACCGAACAACAAACCTGACCACAGTGTGTACATTAGATCCCCGCAACCATTTACAATTGTACCAAACAAAAGTTTCGTTGTTTTCCTAGAAGCATTACCGATGCTGGTTTTGGCATTCATCCAAAGCTTGAGACAAGCAAGAAGGGATCACAAACAGTGTAGCAGCATAAGAAGCGATAGTATATTATGTAGGCAGGCCACAGTGCCCTATGGAGAGCTTCGGGGAATCCTTGCCTATGTCAAACAGTCCTCTCGCCAGGTGGTGCCACCCAATCTTTTCGGGGCTAATAGCCTCATCAATAAAAAACTGCAACCTCACAGGGCACCCACGAAAAGGGCTCTCTTGCTTTTACTCATTCTTTAGCCTCTACAAGGTGTAATGAACATAATAAGGTCATGCTTGAAAGAACCAGCCCATAAATGCACTACACTACCTTCCCATTTGGTTTTCTATACAGTATTTGTTTTTGCGGATCAAGAGTTGGCCTCATGGGGTACCTTTGTGTGGGGCTCTTGTGCGATTCTATGTGCTTGGTTGCGCCTGGAAAACAGGGCGAGTGATGCACTAAACGGGCAAATGAGCATGCACTTGAGCATGCATGTTCATGACATTTACCGATCTTCGAAAATGAGCCTTCCACAGCTACACAGTGTGTGAGATGTAATAAGCATGCAGTATCTTCACGTAGAAAATTTCATTCTGTTTTAAGTGCAACAATTGATTGATTTGTGGGGTTTAATGTCCCAAAACCACCATATGATTATGAGAGACGCCGTAGTGGAGGTTAAGTGCAACAACGACGACATGATTATAACTATGAGGCTAACAATGGTGCAGAACTCCATAATAATTGGACCACACGGAGTTCTTAAACATGCACCAAAGCTGAAGTACAAGAGCATTTCTGTACTAAGCCCCCAGTTGAATTTTCGTCAAGCACACATTTTTATTAGACAGCAATATATTTAATTGAATATTAACTCTATTTGACAGTACAAACTAGCTTGTGTGTGCTTTTGATATATGAAGTGAATGTTAGGCTTTGTAAATACGGCTATGAAATTAGATGAAAAATTTATAACGCAATGGTTATTTCCACTGAACTTCTCTTTAATCCTTTTCATGCCTTAAAAATTTTGAAGTAGCTGTAGTGAACTCTGAACTTGCAAGCAAATTAACCAGAAAGATGCATTATACAAAAAATGAAAGAAAATAGAACAATTACTGGTGATGCCGCTGAGATGTCGCACTTAGGCCCTTTGCACCATCCTTGTTCTTCAGCTCCCGAAACCTGTAGGCAGGGAAATAAAATTAACACAGAAAAGTCAGCCTTCACTGTGGCTCCACTACATAGAATTGACAAGACTCTAGAATGAGTAGGCCTAAAGTCAAACTCCAGTAATTGTTTTACCATGTCAAGATAATAGCAATTCTATGTTCCTAAGAAGCTCCTGTCATACTTTTTGATATTTTCATTTATTTATTTCTTAACTTAACAGTACTGTAGGCCTTCATGCAGGCTCATAGAGGAAGTTCATGATAATAATATAAGGGTTTAACGTCCCAAAACCACCATATGATGAGAGACGCCGTAGTGGAGGGTTTCGAAAATTTTGACCACCTGGGGTTCTTTAACCCAGGCCTACAGCCTTTTCGCCTCTATCGAAAATACAGCCGCCGCAGCCGGGATTCCATCCCGTGACCTGTGGGTCAGCAGCCGAGTACCTTAGCTACTAGACCAACGCGGCGGGGCACACAGGAATTTCATAAAGATATGCTCAGTGATACCTAAAGTTATCTTAAACAGGCAAAAACAAAAACCCAAATAGGCAGTACATCTTTCCGTGACCTAGTAACGTCCACAATGCAAGCCCGGCCCGTAGCCTTAGCAGGAGTGTGTTTGCAATTAGAACAGAGGGGGGTGTTTTACCAAGGCAAAATAATAAGCATTTTTGAAGTCCTTAAAAAAGTTCTTGCCCCTGCCGATTTTGAACATATAAATTGCGATTAGGGGTGTGCAAATATCAAAATATTTGAATACGAATCAAATATGAATACATAGCTTCAAATACGAATTGAATATCAAATAATGAAGAGGTGCAAGTTTTTTCCATCAGTAATCTTTTACTCAATCATGTAGTTATGTTGGAAACAGTATAACTGTTATTACAATTGTTATTAAAGTCAGTTATTACACACAAAAATTTTAAAAAATGTCACCTTCTGTACTTTCCAGAAAGCATAAGACTAATAATTGAGCTTTGACTGTGATGTCTTGGGTTTAATCTACATGTTGAACAAATCTTTTGTATACTTTTTTTTATTACGAAAAAAGCTTTCGTACATGACATGATGACTAGTGAGCATGAGGCCACTGGTTTGATTGTGTAACAGTTAACACCTGTGAACTTAAGTCTAAGCGATTATTAAAGCAGCCTAGGTAGTCACAATTCATCCAAGTCCTACACTATCAATTTTGTTTTGAAAGACTAATTTCATAGTTTTCTTTAATTTTTTTTTTCTCTGTTCTCATGGGTCAAGCCACTAAGGAAAATAGAACTACTTGGAGCGTTTTTCAACTACACAGCAATACTCGTTATCTCGCTTGCTTCTGTTGCCTTTTTCGAGGACTGTGCCCTTGCCGTTTTCCGATCAAGAATGGTGCGTTGCGCTGACAGCAGCACGATAGCGACCAAGGTGTACCGGGTGCGAAGCGATAACGCGAGGTGAATGCACGAGATGGATGATTACTGATGTGTGATAGAAATACGCCCCAAATATGCCTCTTTGTCAACGGAGCCACAACTGCCAGCGGCGAGGACACTATTTTGCCACACCGCAATGCCCTTTGACGCACTGGCTGGTGACGGCAGTAAACGTACGTTGGCAAAAGAGCGACACTGCAATAAAGGTGTAACAGAGAGTTAAATGCAGGAGACACAGCCGCGCGAGCGCAGTGCGCATACGATGGATTTTCAAAGGCACTGTCAGGAACGCAGCGGCACTACGCATTAACCAGTTCATCACCTTGCGTGCACCGCCGTTAATAACGCAGAACTATATGTGATGATGCCATTGTAATTTTACCAAAAATGCATGGCCTTTTCCAAGTTTGCCATTGCGCGGAAAAACACTTCAGCTCATTCGCATGACCATATTCGCTACCATGAAATCATTCTGGAACTATGAAGAGAGTATACATGCTGAAGTAGCGGCACAGCTGACGGACGACTCGTTAGGCTTCAACATGTGCGCGTACATTTGTATGGCAATCTATTAGCAAAAACTGGCGTTACCACCGTTTGCAAGCTGATAACGCTCCTAGCTAGTTGCGTGCAGTGCATCAGCGCCGCGCCCTGTAGCGTTTATGCGTGCATTTGCCCTTGCGTCGAAATATTTTTATTGTGATAGCAATTATATGGACAGTCTTGGCTGGTCTTCGCCGCCACCGCCGCAGCCATTATGCACCGTATATGTATACGTACCAATTCACGAAGAGATAGGGCTATAGGTGGCAGCACCGTCCCGTGCAAGTGTGGATAGGTGGTCGGCGGCGCGTATAAAAATACACGCAGCGGCGCTTCGTTGCATGCAGCCGAGCCGATTGTCGGTGGATAAAATGCGTTGACTACAGTTTACTGTTAATACCTACGCTCTTCTCTACTGAATCGGTGCACGACGCCTATGCAACGTTAACATTGCCCGTGAGTAAAGCGCATTCTGTCTTTCATAGGGATGCTCGTCCTGAACGACTTTTCACACTTTTCATTAAATCACGACTTTGCTGTGTTGTTTCTACGTGGTTAACTTGTGTTTGGCCTGCTACACACTGCTGTAGCGTGACTGAACTACTTACTTCATTGTTTGTCATCTGCATACTACAAAAAAAAAAAAACGAAGAAAGATTGTAGAAAGCCTGCATATCTGTGCAATTTGTTCAGTACCACCATTCGCACCTTATGTGCATATAATTTTTTTTCTCTCATTCTGTTCACCATGAAATATGGGACAGTCAATAAGTCTAGTCAGGAAAGCTTACTGGCTGACGGCGCTTTGCACTACACTGCGTTTACCTTGTGTACACACATGTTTTTGCCCCAGTAAAATCTTATATAAGAGTTTAGCAGAAAACTTTCGATGGATTACGGTGCTACAACAAAAGCCTGGTTAATGGCACAAGCATATATTTTTTTTTCAGACAAAAAATTAACACTGCCTTCCGTCGGTCACTAACAATGCCACACAAACGCTGAAGGCAACATGAAAAGGATGAAATTTTCCGTGAAATCATATGACTTATATACTATATATAAGGCATGCCATCTGAATCAACTTTTAACGTCTGGGCTGTTCAAAGCGTTCTTAAATCTAAGCACACGGTTGTGCACGGTAACTCTGTTTTAATTACAGTGTAAGTACCAAAGTCTCACAGTTTATGTGATAGTAATATTTACATAGAAATATAGTAATATTTCTTAGTAGTGGTACCATGGCCAGATAAACACAACTAAGGCTCCTCTTGCATAATCGATAAACTACAGTGCCGTAGTTCCACACCTACAAACAGCGCGCAAGTGCACGACCTAGAGCCCCCCCTTTTTTTTTCTACCCCCGAGTCGCCATAAAACGCTGCATTCACACAGCATTTATAGTTCTCATGTTTGGGAGGATACCAAGAGCATTTTGCGATGTGCTTGAAGCAGAAAGCGGCACCCACTGTGAAACTATTCTGGTGAATGGAGGGTATGACAACAATAAACAGCACTCTGGAAAGTTGCACTCGCTGATCTTATTACAATGCATCAGCAGCCGAGCGAGCGAAAACCGAATGCTTTCGTAAGTCATTTCAGGCATATGTAGAAACAGTTGCACTCGCGCTGACATGACTGGACAAACCACACTTTGAGAACTTGCATGACGTACACGCACATAGAAACACGACGTGGCTAGCGGACGAAGCAAGGAGCAATACACACTTCACCGTTTCGGTCAGTTGCCGCCAGGCGGTGACTCTGCTCGATCTCGTGGCCAATATACATGAAAACTCATGAAAGAAGAAAAGCCACCCTCGCTCGGCACCCAACTGGTCGTGAAGCGCCAACGCACACTTATCTCCCATGCGTACTTTGCCCCGCGTGTGGGGGCGGGTGAATCAGGTTCTTTTGAGCGCGCACTTATGTTCGGTGGGGAGATTCGTGTGCGTTGGCCTTTCACCCGAACGACTGCATTAGTTGCCTGGGCCACACAGGTAACTTCGCTCACTGGACAGGCGTTTGCGAAAAGAGCGTGCTTTTCAAGCACAGCGAAGTAACAATTGGGATGCTCATTAGTTTGCACTCATATCTGTACCAGTGATTACGTTTCATGCATCTTTTTTGTTTAAACAGCACGTTAAGCATTGAGCTGTAAAAGTTGTTTGTTAGCTCTCGTTCTTTGTGTGTTGTTTTTGTGCGTCATTTGTGAGCAGCACGCTGAACGTTTCAATCTGCTAGCCATTCTCAGTGTTACATTCCAAGTTACTTAGTTGTTGCTATCGCATTAATTGCTTTGCCCTTACGGCGAAAGAGACTTTTTTTTTTTTGTGCTCGCAGCACAGGACCCAGCAAAGGTGTGGAGACTATTATGTCAAGCCAATGGGGCAGTGGTGAGTTGCCTTCGTTTCCACGAGCGAGACGCACAAGGGCGCGGCAGCTGACGGTGCAATTAGGGGTGTGCGAATATTCGAAAGTTTAGAATATTCACACACCCCTAATTGCGATGTTGCTCACACCATCACAACTACCACCATCACAACTTTGAGTTGTGCTAGTCTGAGTGACCAGACTTTCCAAACAGCAGGCTGATGAATGCTTGCAGCGTCCACTGTTATATCTGTTTATTTATTACTCTTCGTACTTTATTGCATACACATTTCGTGTTCAATAATCTATGCACAAATTACGACTTTCTGCATATGACTGGTAATTTCTAGACCATGTAGTTTTCTCCCAAAATCTGCAATGCTTCGTCGATTATGGTGGTTCATGTTGCTCCATCAAAGGAGCTGTATACAGCTTGTTGCCTACTTGGGATAACAGGAAAGCATTGCAAAATAACCAGCATATCAATATGTGCGAATATCACTATGTGCAAAGTCACTTTCGAAGGGGCGTTGCAACACTTTTCCAAGTAGCCATGAAATGGATTCACTAAAAGAGCTGATTGCCTCATGAATTCACTACCGCAAAAATGGTTAAAATCCATCTAGTATGACTGGAGATACAAAGATTTGCTGCATGCTGCAACTACATA